TCCAAGCCAAGGTACAACCGTTCCACCGAACAGAGAGGATTCAAGTTTACCTTGTTTCCCATTTATTTACATTTAAAATGCGGAATTTTAGCTTATCTATATGTTTCAACGAATTCAATGTTATAAGCACGAACAACCAACGGTCCTGTATAGTCCTACCGCGTTTTCCGTACCCGCACAGTTGTACGAACAAGTGAGTCTAATCAACGGAGCACCGCTGGCACACAAAGCCTCATTTGCATGTCGCACAAAGCCCACATATTGTAGACGTTTCGCAACCAGTTCACGCGGTTTCGGGCCATCAGTGTCTCATAGCCAATTTATGTTTTGCCTACGCAATGAATTCGAATAACTCCCTAATTCGACAGACCATCTGCCCAACTCGTTTGGAAATATTTTGCTATTTACATGAGTCAGGCAGGAATCTGAAAATAAAATGGCATTTGGAAAGGTTTCACCTCAGAATTTGGCACTCAGTCTATCAAAAGTGGTGGAATAAACAAGATACCGGTGGAAAACTGTAACGGAAGCGCTCATGTGTACAGAAGTTTTTCTAAATCCAAATATTGAACTTTAGAGCCATTGGGTAGAAGTAAACTATTCAAACCCGAATGTGCATTTCTCACAGCTCATCTAATGTCGTCATTTGCAAACCGCTTGGAACCGGTGGATGATTCATTGCTTTGGAACTACTTGTCGAGCATTGAATCTACTGAATGTTTCCTAAACTACCCCAAAACGGTTATCTAATTACCCTTCACCAAGTAGTCCACAATCAATCATGGCTTTGCTGATCTAGGAACGAATGACTTTACTTGCTTAGAAACGCTTCACTCTGGTTTGCTTTTGTCTTCGTAGCTACAATTCTCTCGTTGGACCGTCACTCAAGCTGTAGGGTTTTTTGATGTCTTCCCGCTTCGGTGATGCATTACGCCTTGTAGTTCACCTCATTGTCTAACGCGCTTTCAGTCATGCACTTTGTGATACCTTCCGTTTTTCACGTCGCTTGCACTACCACCCACATTTTCAATTCACCCTTGTGCGTTCATGTACTCAGTCACCTAGTGAGTTAGTATACATTGGTGCTGCATTAGTCCAGCCATTTTCATATACACTTTTGACTGTAGTTGACCTATTACTGTTTGATTTATTCCAGTGCAAAGTCGTACTGACCAAGCTGTTGGAAGAGGCCCGTAGGAAAGATCCAACTTTACCCCTTTTGAACCGGTAAGTTGTATTTTTGGGTTTGATTTGTCTTGGATGTCCCGGTCTTCTCGTTGTGTTAATTGGCGTGGATATTAGGTAGTTCAATGTGTCCCTAGTGAAACAGCTTCTCACTGTCCAATGCGCTTGCTGCCCGCAGCCAGTTGATGTTCGTGAATGTCACATAATTTTTATCTCTGCCAGCGCTCTTAAGAATACTGCTTTTATGTATCCCCTTGGTGTCCTCAGGGAGGTTGTTTTGAACGATTTTGGAATCCCAAACGAAATGTTTAACACTAATTGGAACCGTTTCGTTGATCATGTAATTCAGTACGAGACCGTAGAGGTGAGAAAACTGAAGATGTGGATTTATCAAGGACGGAACTTTTTGACAGTAGTATGTATGACTTATACTCCCCGTTAACTCAACTCTTCTATAAGCCTGGTGCGATGAAGTATAGCAAAATTTCCACCTTGATACAGGATGGATGAATGTCGTGCACAATATACTCGCCGGATTGACCGTTCTCTGATCACCAACCGTTGGTGGCAACAGTGGAATACATCTCAGTTCAATTATGGCTCATGTTGCTGAATCGAGAATCGAATAGGGAATCTCAAAGTGGAAGCACTTGAACCCTCCGAATTAATTCTGCAAACTAACTAATGTCTACTCAAGTGGAAATAAACATTCACGTGAAAAGAAACGAGCCCATCAGTTTACCGTCTGTCATAGTTTTGTATTAGCAATGTTGTGGAATGTAGATAGCTCGGGTGCGCTGTTTGGTTGTTGGTCTGTTCGCCGAGCTTGGCAGTTGGATTGCAAACGTTTCATCACCAATCGAGGTGACATCGTCAGTGCAGGGTTGAGTGGGAGAGTGAGACCCACTCAACCCTGCACTGACGATGTCACCTCGATTGGTGATGAAATGTTTGCAATCCAACTGCCAAGCTCGGCGAACAGACCAACAATCAAATAGTTTTGTATGACTACCAAAACAAACCCTATCTGTATATAGATCTAAAAAAGTAACATTTTCGAAACGTTCCATTCCCATGAGTGCATCTCATATGTGTGGTTTGTGATGACTTATGCGTGCCTGTTGTTGCAAACACAATCTGTAGCGATCTGAGGATATTTCAGTGACCAGGATGAGGACCACATTTTAGCTTAGTACTGTGTCTTTCAGAAATAAAGAATCCGAGGGGAAGAGTGGGGAAGATTCCAATTGTTATCTATCTATGTTAGCACGTCTGCTGAGAAGAGTGCAAAAAATCGTATGCTAGGCGAACAGAAGTGTAAACAAACGGCCCAAAAAACTTTTAAAGTTGAAAGCGAGTCTTATACCCCCAATCGCCCAGTTAGTTGCGGTCACATTCCACCTGGAACCACGAGATTTAGCACCAACGCTAAACACACAACTAGTGAGCAGACTGGATGGTTGCACAGCCGTTTAAGCGAACATTGGACGTTTGCACAACCCAGCCGTGGGGCCCTCAACAAGTAGGCAGTAAAAGCTGGTGATTTTCTAGTCTGAATTTTTTCAGTTATCCCAGCCAGTTGACTGATCCAACTGATTGCGGGTCCTTAGATAAGGTTTATTCCAACCATCGGAGTGCGTCCGATTCTTCTATCTTACCTGTTATCCACGCGTTCATTTGAAGCTGACTGAACCACCATCTCCACCAAAGAGTGACCAAAGCTGTGTGATCCGTATCTCTCATCTTTAGACATCCTGTGGACAGTTGCTGCGCACCAAAATGAACGAAGTACCTGTCCGCATAGCACCTGGCTGGAATGAGTCATCACAGTCCAGTTAACTCTCTATGCTGCCCACAGTATATAGGAAGAGATCTGACTTTGTGAGCTATCTTGTGCGAAAGAGTAAGAAGTTGAAAGCCTCTCAAACCCTTACTGACGCTGTTAATTTTTTTGAAATTGACAGGGCTACGGAACCCGAGCTTGTGGCTTAACGTAAAGCATCTGCAGTGCGGTCTGGAGTCCTTATTAACACATTTTTCCCTGAAAATCTGAAAACCAAATGAATGTATCTGTTGCACCGTGAAGCCCTCTGCAGTTAGATACGCTTAAGCTGAGTTTGCAGTTGGACGCCTAAACCCTCTGAACAGTGGCCGCCTCTTTTTGACTACACCGCATCAAGTAACAGGCTATCCGTGAGTTGTTTCTCACAGGACGATGGAAAATTTGGGAAAAAGGTACTCTGACCTGTCATACTGATTCGGAAATATTCACTCAGTGCTTAAGATAATTTCATGCAATTTTCATCCACAACCTGGTGTCCAAGCGAGATCAACCGTTACTTGTCCTGTAGTTAATCGAGATAAACGTGTGCAAGACGAATAAGTTGGGAACTTTTAATCGTGCACGGACGCTTGCTGAGACGAAAGTCATGCACTGAACCCTGCACGATCGTTTACCCTGTAGACAGATGACTGAAGCCCCGGTGGCTTGACTTCCTTCAAATAATAAATGAGGCCAAGTTTACACACCCATCCACAATTCGAATGCACGAGACACCCACCTTTTAGGGTGAGCGAGCACGAAAAATCTTCGAAACAAAATGCGAACCTGTTCCCCCCCCCCACTTGCAACACATTATTTTATAATAACTGTGAGTTTTAGCTGACGACAAGTTTAACATGTGCCACGTGTGCTCCATGACTCGATAGTTTTAACCAAACGACATAGACCTGCTACTCGGTTGGAGAAATACCGACTAGCTAATGAAGTTTTTCGATACGGTGAAGCATGCACTTGTCAGAGTCTGCCAAGTAACCCTGATGATAAAACGAATGTTTTTTGAAAGGTGGTAGGTACTGAAAATGGTATCATTTAGTACATTTTTTAAAAACATAATGCCAAATTGGTATGCAGATGGAAGTGCAATTCGAATTTCGAGCAATTTGAAAACTCGAGTACTTTGTCTACCTGATGGACCTTAGGAAGGGTGAAACCGGCCGTGAGTTATCGAAGGGTGTTCAGCAACCTTCTATGCATTCCACTTCATCAAACATATTTTTGCCAATCATCACCACCAGAATCTCATCGGTTATTTTGCATTTCTTTACAAACAGGTCTAAATCTACGGAGTATCACGTTGATATCTACGGCTTCAAGCAGTCATACGCGGATGAGGTTGCAGTTCTACACTATGTTTGTAGACATCTCCGTGAATTTCTTGACAGACAACGGGCTCCGGAGGCCGACCGAAATAGGGCGTGGACAGAACTGGTCAAAAGTCCAACTAGAGAATTATCTAGAGTAAGTAGTTGCACATTTCCCCCGGATTATTCTTTCTTTGGGAGCTCAAAGTTAAACTAACCGGTCGAACATTTTGTCGACGTCACTGTGCTTGAACGCTGTTCTTCCGAGCTTGTACAGAAAAGTGGAGAAGCATGGCTTCTGAGTCTTGCTTCTGATCATAAAGCCTCATAGCACAAAACCTCTCGCTTTCCTGGACTGGATTTCTCTCATCATTGATCAGGAGGAGATATCCACGTCTTGAGTAAAGAAACTAGTTTGCACAACTGCTTGAACGGCGACTTTGTGGCCCTCAGAACTTCCAGGTATTGATTTTTCGCTTGTGGATGGTTGCGAACAACCTTGCCTTCTCAGAACTGATGAGCCAGGTTCGTCCAAATTGCAGCGGTTCAAATTCTTTACATCGCATGTTTGATGACCAAGGTCAAGGTCTTTCAAGGACATACACTGGTCACGAGTTTTACCGAAAAGTGAGCACATGCTAAGCCCGGTTAAACGAGGGTGATGCAAATCTGACAACTTAGGCAACTACCTAAAAATAACCCCGTTGTTTTCGGTGGTTGTGAAAAATGTGTTTTTGCTCCGGTGAACATCATCACCAAGATGATGGGTTATCTGAGGATCATCTTTACAGGAATCCCGCACTCATTACCATTCCAGCAGTCCTGGTGAAGCAAATCATCATATATAAGAAGACTTCTCACAAACCGAAAAAATTCCATACACGCTGTTATGCATCAGAAAACGATGTTCTTTTCCTGAACTTTCTGGCAGTGGTACCGCTGTCAATTCCACCAACGTTCCTTCGTTGCAGAGCGAATTAAAACACCTTTGCCGGGCTGGAGTCCCCGCAGCAATGCGTGGGGGTGTTTGGAGAATGTTAATCCATGGGGAGCTGAAATCGATCATGACGGAGAAGGGACCGCACTATTACAACCGGTTGATCTCAGAAATCAGTGAAAGCAAGGTAAGCGGTTGTGGAATACTGCAGGTGTTTGGTTTGCCTTGCATGGCATTCGAGTGATTCACATAATTGTCAGATGGTACCCATCCACAGTTTGTTTTGCTGAATACTGAGCAAGTTATCAATCGAATTAGGCTACGCCAAATGTCGCTCTAGACTCTATTCATGCGTTTTTGAATAGTCTAGTTGCGTCGAGGCCTGTGACCTCGTCCCTAAACGAAAATGTTCTACACCACTCGCAACCCCCTCGTCTGCAATGGCGAAAAGCACTCATGACGACCACACTTTCTCCAACTTATTCCAGTAAACTATCTGCACCTTCGGCCGCCTAATATATCTTTTGCATATAGTGAGATATTGTGGGACCTGCCGATAACTTGTTGTAAATAGGTCTCCTTAAGAGACCAGTTCGTAAACGGCTGCAGTTTAAAGTACGACCTTTGATGGCCTTAGGATTTAGACAGTATCAACTAGTGCATTCTTTGGTGTCCTAATTGGATTATACATGCAGCGGTTTATTTCGGTAGTTGATCTGAAAATCATTCCAAGATTTGATTTGGCTGGTTATTAGTTGCGGTGAGGATTGTTTTTTTTTCAGTTGTACCACTCGGATGTCCTCGGCTCTTACCGGGCACGTTCGTCCTCAACAGCGGCAGATCTCTGGCTGAAGCACGCTTTGTCGCTCATCCGGACACACGCTTTTGTATACATGGTGCCAACAGCACCAATATATGGTCGATTATCAAGTTCTGCACAGATGCAGCCTTATCCACCTCCCGTCTAGGGTTTGAGAAAAAGTCCTTGAATACGACCTTATCGTGAGACAGTTCAAAAATGCCTGCCTCAAAAAGCCACGAAAAGCAGACTTATTGATTCCCCTTACATGGGTCCGGTCCCTGAAAAACCTAGGGAAGTATTGTTCTCTTGGGACGTGGAAGCAGGACTTTTATAGACTATGAAACTCTGTACATTCTCCTCTAGCGTGAATGCGACGTACAACCGGGAAATCTGACAGCCCCAGAATGACAGTTTGGTACCGTGACCGAGCGTCATTGATACGACCTCATGCTGGATTCGCTACCATGCCCGTTTACTGTGTGGCCAAAGAAAGTGTGGCAAGGTCCTCTTATCTGATCTTCCTATTCCAGCCATATCTCAATGGCTCCACACAAAAATGAACTCACGGTGCGCTCTTGAAATTCTCGGAAGTATTCATCTTTACCACTGGCTTGTTCTCTCGCCATTCGATCTGCCTAGCTGTTTTAGCATGAGGGCCCTTGACCAGGTGCTGACGTCCGAGTAACTTACTCTTGACCCTGTTGCTAGCCAGCTCATCCCATGGGTCATTTTTGAATCGGAAAACCGACAATCAGGTGTGTCGCTAGTATGCATTACGCGATTGCCTGCTACTCTGATTTTCCGCCCCAGTTTATCACCGGTCTCACCACTGTAATGTGCAGACATTTTGTGTGGTCCCTTCCAGAGCTCTGAAGAACCCTGGGTCTCAGATGAATTCAACTCCACCCGAATTGTAATACCTTCCAACGATTGGGTAAACCTGCATGTCTTGCCAACCTGTTTTCTGAAGGAACCTTTGAAGGCCATTGTTAACTTGTCTTTCGTGATCGCGTGAATATTCATGGCCTTTGGCCAATCACAAAAGCAGTTACGACATTTAGGATATGAAATCACTCACAGAAGAGCCTAGGTTTTTGAATCTCCGCAACGTCAGCACACTTGGTGGATACATTCACCGGTAATTCGACTATGCAGAGTAGACCGATAATCTGTGGGCTCTCTGGCGAATCCCAAATAATAAAGGCTGCAAGATTTAGTAAATAACTATGCTATCTTTCCTCCCTGCGGCAGCTTAGCTGAGACAGCTCTAAATGTGGTTTGGATAAAGCAATTTTAGTCCGACGTTTCGCAACTTTTTCATCCACAGTACTTTGTATACTCGATAAACATTACCAAGCGGAATGCAGCTTAGGAGAGCGAGCTATCTCCTTGCTGTTCGTTTCGTTCTTCTTGTGTTTGTTCTGCGTAGAATGCACGACCATCGTCTACATACTCGTCCTTAGACACAATTCGTCTACCTCATTTCGGACGCGATGGGGTTGTACAGTTTGCCCAGTGGTAGGTCAGTAGTAACATACACCAGGTCACCTGCCATGCAAAATTCCATTTGAATAGCTAACTTTCTTCCATAACAGTAAGGAGAATCTTCGGTGGTGTGTGGTCTCGTGCTGATGCCTGGATAGCGTTACTTTTTTGGTTGCTAATGATGTAACTATTCATGGAAGATATGCACAAAGTCTGGTCGCTCATATGGAGAGAAGCATAGGGATGTAGTCCACTTAGTGGGCTGAAATGAAAAATAGCTGATCGATCAGTCAGCTTACCGAAATTTGCTGAAAGTCACCACACTATACGACAATTGGTCGTAAGCCTAGTTAGCTTTCTTTCAAATGTATTCGGAAGTGCGGGTGACAGAAGGATGGTTTGTTAATTGTGGCTCGCTAATTTCATCTCAAAGTTAATTCTATTTTGATAAGTCGTCGACACCAAAAAACCTTGCTGCACTGCCTCGGAGACGTTTGCTGGATCGACTATACTTGCTAGGCGGTAGTTCCGCCTTTTCTTGGATTGTTGTTGCAGTCAGAATGCTCGCGAGAACGAATCATCGTTTTGGGTGGTGAGTGGACATCATTGCTTGTTTTTCGGTAGGTGAGATTAATATCCAACAGATTTTTCAGATTCCTCAACCAGTTTTCCTTTGAACGACTCAGTCATTGCATGTGATGGTTTTTGCGGGAG